ATCCTGCACAGTATTTATTCTAATGGATTTATGAATTAACTTGATATGTACACTTGTTTAAAATAAAATCCCACAAGTCTACTTGGCCCACCTAACTGTAATTTGCATTGCCAAGTGAGTGCTAATGTGAAATGAACATGCTTTTTTTTGTATTTTTTGATGTTATGTTTGTTTATGTAAGATGAAAAGCAAAATAAAAATGAAAGAAAACAAGTAGAGCGCAAGCACCCTTGAAATTTGATTCAAAATTTAAAAAAAAATCTGCCCCATCCAGCAGATGTCACTATTGTCTTGGTTGTTTGGCTTTATGACAAGCTTATCCTTATGGGAAGCAAAAATGGTTTAGACAAAACACCAATTAAATTGATTGAAATAAAGCATTATCTGCCTGTGTTAAGAAAAGTCAACAGAGTAGTGAGAATCTGCTGACAAATACAAATTAAGTTTTAGGAATTCAAAGAAAATGACAGACACACTCACATAAGGGTAGTGTTGCTGGCAATGAGAAACAGAGCGAAAAAGAGAGACTGTATCAAGACTAATAAATCTCAATTGCTTCCTGTTATTAGCCTCATTCCATCATTAGTTTACACAGTCTTGACTGAGGGGAAAGTCAAACAGCTGAATTTGTACTTCTTTTTACTTGTAATAATGACCAAAACTAATACATGGCAGAATAAATCTCTATGAAGAGAAAGAAAGAGATGAAACCAGAAAACAGTTCTTATCTTGATCCCAGAAAAGACTGAGTCATTATTTGGACAAAAACATAACAGCTTAAAGACATAAATTAAAACACCAATTGCTGCCCAGTATGTGGGATGTATTCTAAAAAAAAGAGACATGAATGGTAGACATATATTGAAAACATACAGAAAATAGCTTGTTGTCATGGTTCAAATTTCCTGTGTTGTGGTATTTAACAAGTGCCCTTTGAAGCATTTTTCCATTTATTCTCACTCACCCTTCAGTCCCTCAAAAAAGAAACAGACTTGAAACAGCAATATACTTCATCAAAGCTATTTTCTAACTGGAGTGAGAAAAGTCACTGGATCATATTGCAATGTGTTGATTACAAAGTTCACAGTTTCACACAAGAGCACACCAAAGAGACAGCCACTGCCTTAATTCTAGTTGTGTACTGACAGCACTGGTGCTAGTTTAACAAAGATAGACTTAGACTATGGCTTGGAGCTAATAAAGTGCAGATAGACATCTGAGTTCATTATTTGCACAAAGCTGTCTGGTGTTTGACTATCTTGAATAAAACTAATTTGCAATGCACTCTGGGCACTGGGCATCTCTGTGCCTTGTATGATTAAATTACAAGTTACACAAAGATTGAGGCTATAGCAGAAAATAATATATATTTTCAGTGAGTTTCTAGGGGTTCCAAAAACTCTTTCCACTCTTATTGCTCACTTTACAGCAATGTTAAACCACAAATTGAGTCCTGTTTTTCTTCTTTTTGTCAGTTGTCAGCAAATGTGATTGAGTGTTACCATGGAAACACAGACCTAAACTCTGTCTAAGATAGCCTGTGGTTACGTTGGCTGCCTTTTTAGCCTTTAAGTTAAACCTTTTTCAGCATTTAACCCCAAATTATTCAGCCTTTGTGCAACTCTAGTATTACAGTCTGACTGTCAAAACGAAGACAGGCCTGAAATACTTAACACATATCCACAGTTTACTCACAAAAAATTGATACCTTCCACCATGAAAATGTATTTAGTAATTTGACAAAACTAGATACTAAAACAATAGACAAGTGAATGTGTTACTGAGTAGGATTATAAAGCAAGTATGTTGTGTCAACACAGAACAACAACAACAATAAAATGTTGATTTAAGTTTATATCCAAAACGTCAAATGGCAGGTGTAATATTAGGACAATGACGGGAAAGGACAGTTACTAAACAACTTAAATGGAAAGGCACATTAGATGTATGATTGCAGAGGCAATTGTGCTTTTTTGCACTAAAATTTCATTGGGCACTGCAAGGCATCCCAGATTAGAACCCAGCATTAGTAATAATAATAATAGTAATGTATGTGATTAGGTGTAAAATATGCTAATAATGGTATTTTTCTCATGCACCATAATTCAAAAAAGCACCTAATATATCCTAAAAAATGTTAAACATCAAATGTATACAGTATTTACATTTTAAAAAGTATAGTGTAAACACATTAGTGATTCATAATTGCAGCTGTTATTTGTTGTCATTTCACAACAAAGACTTCAAACTAGGCTGAAGATATATATCTTATTCAAATTCATAATTGTTTTATTTGATGTTATGGAAAAATGAAGGTACAATGTCGTATTATAAAATAAAAGCACCCTGAGAGCCCACCTTCACACACCTGCACTCATACACCACCTGGCATTTTGTTACAGCTTAAGGTCTAATATTGCTTTTTGCTATTTTTAGTGTGGCTGAAGTGGGTGCTGCGGCTCCTGAATTTAGCCAGTCCTGTCTGTCTTTCATAAAAACAATCAAAACACAATCTCATGTTATATTCTCATGTTTAGAAAAGTAATCCTACCTTATGGTTACACACTGACCAGTACTTTATTACAACAATCACAATTATAGGAGAAAGCTTTATACCTAATACTTGTGTTACTCGCCTATGTACGGTTTGCTCTGAAAGATACATTATAATCTTGCTGCAAAGTACTAATTATTTGTCCTATTCCTATGTCTGATCTTTCATTTAATAACACAAAAACGTATTGAAAGTTAATAAAGTTACTTCATACTAAATATTCATACTGATAGTGTGAGTCATTGTTACACCACAAACAATTAAATAAAATTAAATAAATGTAAAACAGGGTGAATTTTAATATGACTTATTTCTAATTTGCAGAATGCTTTGGACTCATTAATATTAATTGTGCTCTTATATAACCTTACTCAAAGATTTAAGCTGTAACAATATTACACAACCGAAATAAATAAAGTGGGTGAGTGAGAGGTATTTCACAAGACAAGCCTAAGCACTAAGCTAGGCTTATTATAATCTTGTAATAAACCAAAACGTGTTTATTTCCATCTCAAGGAGCAGATTTGGATGGGTGCCATTTAAATTATGATGCTTTCAGCTAGGAGTACAGGTGGCCAAGTATTTATATTTATATATTGAGTTATTCATTAGTTTATTAGTGCATGGGTTGTTTTCAAACTGCAAAAGGCTATATCAACACAGAACCGCACAAGGCAGAAAACTGCTGCTCCACCACTCATTTTTCAAACATACAGCATGGCCGCTAAAAATCAGCAGCTGGCCAAGAGCTGTCGAAATATCTTATTTTACATTAGTTTTGGGGGTTTTCCCAGAAGTATAATTTGAAACATCTATAGATAGGTCTACAGGGGTTCACTGTATTTGATTGGTGTTGATTTAAACTTGTATAAAGTGATATGACACATTTTGATAATAATTGGTAATTTGTCATCTTGGTAGATCAAGTTGATTTTTAGGTATATTTGGCTATCCTTCAGTGTCATTTTAAATCACAGAATTTAAATTTCTCCATATCTCTGCCCAGTAGGCAGTTAAACAACTATACCCATTACTGCTCCTCTTTCACTTGCAAAATGCACCTAAAGGGAAGTGATTGTGTTACTAGTCAAACCAGCAAACGTAAGGTTAGAAACTATATATAAATTGCCAAAGTAAACAAAGTAAGAGACACAGTGAAATTTGTGTTTTACTTTTCATTACCTTCAAACTTGTACACCTTTACTTTTATCTGGGTTTCATCAAGAAGTTTTTTTTTTGCCCGCAGTCATCTGAAGACCTGGCACGCTGGTAGTTAAACTTGACCTCTGCGGTTTTTAATCCTTCTGAAAGAGTTCCAAATCATGTGATATTTTTGTGATAACTTAGGGCACTGAGATGTGTATTATAAGAACAATCAATAATACAAATGACCAATCATCCATTTTAACCCTTATTATACATGTATTACCTTAATTATTAGCAACCTCTGTGATACAGCTGGATGATACAGTCAGGTTAAGTGACAATCACAAAAGTTTGAGTCATAAGAAAGAACAGAATTATAAGTCTCAATAACATTTTTACCTGAGATGTAAGTATCAATTGTGTCATCCTAGTGAAGCTTCATGTACCCCTTTGATGTGGCCTCTTCATGTCTTGCAATGTCTTCCAACCCTTTCCCGCTTTTTCTTAGGTCACTGGTCTTGTCTTCTCACCCATAAAAAACCTGCTATCTGCAGTTTAGAAGGTAGGCAGTTTGATCCTCTTCCTCACTAGTATGTAAATTGTAAAAACAAATAATTTGAAGCTGTAGCAATTTCTAGGCCCTATCTGTTCTGCCATCCACCTGGATCAATTTGAAGCTTCCCTTATTATTAGTGGAAAATTATTTTCGAAAAAACTATTTTTTAAAATGAACACACAGCAGTTTTGACTACAGCTATATACACATGTGGTAATCATTTCAAGGATTTTACTTCAACATAGAGTAATTTTTATGCTTTAGGCATAAACATAATATAGGGATACACTTTGACTGCCAAATTATTTCTGCAATTCACTACCACTGTTGGAATTTGCATTGAATATTTCCTACACTTGGAAACTGCATGAGCAAGACATAGACATAATCAAAAGCTAATTTACGTAAAACTGCTAATACTGGAAAAAGCCTCAGTGGCAGAGTCAAACCAGACTCTTTTTCTGTCACAAAATCAAAAACAATGTGCCACAGAGCACACAGCCGCAGAGCATGGAAGGAAAAGAGGTGATTTCATTCATTATGGTTGATGGTAGTCCCACTTCACTAGTATGTTTTATAGTATAATTATAATTATTACTGATTCAAACTTATTTTTCCATGCTGTTGACAAAAAAGTTGGAGCAACTGTTGAATAGTGCCATTGATTCACTAAACCAAAATCATTAATACCCACTGATCTGATATTTGCATGCCTATGCAAAATATACAGATATTATCTTTATTTTATGGTTGATCTGCACGTTCATTTGCCTCTTTCCTAGTGTGTGATAGCTCCATCCCAGGGGAAGATCCAGGCAGGCATACCCTGCAGCCCATGAACATGAGGAATGCCCTACGGAAGGAACGGTTGAAGAAACCATACAGGAAGGGATTTAGAGATGAGTTGATATATCCCAGCCACAAAAATATATCCCAGACGACCACCTCTGTGCTGTATTCAATAAATGGGTCCACAATATTGACTGTAAAGAAGGGCATCCAGAAGATTAAGAAAACACCCATGATGATACCCAAAGTTTTTGCTGCCTTTCTTTCCCTCTTCATAGTGTTTCGGTGTCTTTGTTTCTTGCTTGAGTCTTTGCCCACTCCAGCAGCCATCTGGCTTTCCATGGCGCTGATCTGCCTGGCCTGCCGTTTGGCAGCTTTGAAAATCTTCCAGTAGGCCACCAGCATGATAGCCATCGGCAGGTAAAAGGCTACCAAAGAGGCCATGACAGCATAAATACGATTGACCAAGAACACGCATACATCTTCAGGAAGCAGGACGTCCACACCAGCAATATGGAGATCTAGCATTATGGGGCCGAAGGAAATGAGCATGGGAACAGCCCAACACACAACAATAAGGAGAGCCACCCGACTGCGGGACATCTTTACAGAGTAAAGTAGCGGGTTGCAGACAGCGTAGTAGCGGTCAAAGGCAATGCAGCTGAGATGGAATATGGAGGCAGTGCAGAGCATGACATCTAGGCTAGAGTGAAGCCGACAAAAAAGGACACCAAAGTACCAGCATCCTTCTATGGTCCGAATCATACTATAAGGCATCACTAACAGGCCAACAAGACAGTCGGCCACTGCCAGGGACATGACGAAGGAGTTTGTGGGTGACTGCAACTGCTTGAAGTATGCGATGGACAGGACGACCAGGAAGTTGCCCACCACTGTGCAGACGATACCAACAGAAAGGAACGCATATAGGAAAATGCGAGATGCCTGGTTCCTCAGTGTAGTACAGGATTGAAGTTCAATCTTAAGAGATGTGTTAACGTTAACGTCTCCGAGCAATCCCAAGCTGCTGTTATCCATGTTCTAATCAAACCTGTCAAAACACAGAGATACAGTTTTGAATAATGAGTGCTTTGGGCTTTGCAGTAAGTGAGGCAGTTTGCCTACACTCATCTATGGTACATTAACAGTGAAAAAGTGGACAAACCACCCAGAATTCTGTTTGTTTCAAACCGAATTGCTGCTCCATGGTAACTTCTCATTAGTTAAACTCTAAACTGTAAACTTTCATTTGACGTACAAATCACAAGAGATTGTGGGCCTGAAAAGCCCTTGTTCTGGTGTAGTTGCCGTATCTAAAATGCCATCTCTTCGCTTGGTGTGGAGAGCAAAACCAGATGTACTTTTCATCAACAAGAATCTTGATATAATAAGGAGAATGATATATAGTCACTTTTTGCATGTGTTTTCTAAACCAAGGCAAAACAATACTGTCAAAGTGTCACATGATACATTGGGTAGCTTGAGGAGGCAAGACATTCTCCAAATGAATCAACTGTCATCAGGTCTGTTGGAGTGGAACTTGTCAACAAAATCCCATTTTCCTATAGAGATATTTACGTTTATCACAAAAATGATTGGAATGTTGTAAGAATATTAGCAATTTATCTAATTTTGATAAAATGTGAAAAAAATTGTTTTTGTCTCAGGGAATAATCATTAACATTCATTAAACTTCTTAACGTCCTCTGAATTTATGCATTGCACATTACAGAATATCACACCACAGAACACATAAGACTGTAATAAACAGAATAACATTACATTTCCAGTGCCAGTGGTGTAAACAGGGAGCAGATGTTCCAGCTGACTTGGAACAGATTTTAATGAACACCACAGGGACCATGCAGTGGTCACGGAAAAGTGATGCTGGTTGAGAAGATACATTTTTATTTGGCTTGGAGACTTGTTATTTTATTGATTTATCCATGTATTTATTTTTATTCTTTTTCTTAATTTTCTCTCTTTTTATTATCCTTTTTATATTTTTTAAGTGGGTTGTTTTATTTCTGAATTTTATTTTTAATCTTTTTATCTTTGAATTGTGCGGTTTTAACTCTGAATTTTGTTGTTTTATCTTAAACTGGATTGTTTTATCTTTGAGCTGTCTTGTTTCTAACTGCACTGTATAGCACCTTAAAACTACCTTTGTGTATGAAACGCGCTTTATAAATAAACTGCCTTGCCATGCCTTGCTTTATATAAAATCGAAACACATCATCATGGCTTGCAATATAAGTAAAAAAATGTATTATTAATTTTAACTCACTAAATATATCCAACCCCACCCATCCATATATATATATATGCATAAGTGCTGAGTGCCAAAGTGCCCTCTACCTTCCTGAAGAGAGCAGTGGCAGAGTAAAGGGCACTTTGGCAGTCAGCAAAAAGGGCATCTCCACTGCCCACCCCCACCCGCACACTTTGTTGTTCCCTTTCATCCTTTAATCTTTCTGTTTATGTTATAAGTATCTACAAGAACCATATGTTGTATTAGAGTCTTTTAATTTGTATAATACCTCTTTTCTGCTATTAACCACAAAGTCATGTTCTTAATGTTAATTTGGTGATTTACACTGCCAGTAGACAATAATTAGTGCAATATTTGTGCTAAAGCCTTATGTAATGTCTTCCTATCCAACTTACAAAACTGTAATTCAGTATATATATAAATTGTGTTAATGTTTGTCATAAATGCCTATATGCCTGTTAATAATAATAAACACATGAAGATATTTTGTTCAAAGATAACGGCCATCGATTAGTTTTGTCAAATGTATTCTTGATCGTTACATCTTTTTTCTCAAAGCAGAAAACAATAGTATTATTATGATGCTGATGTGCACATGTAATATAAGCTGAAAAGCCACATTTAAACTCTTAAACACATTTAATCACAAATTCAGTACAACTACATCTTTCCATCTGATTATGCAAAGAACAGCTCAGGTACTATGTCACTCAAATCAGCTTATTTACAGATGTTAGAATATCTGCTGAATTCAGTTTAAAATGGTTTGTTTATTGCACTAGTTCACATTAGGTACTATCATAAAACTGTGTAAACAAGGACACTCACCTGTAAAGCAGAGAGATGATCGGCTGTCCTCATGTCTGTATCATACTGCAGGTCTGTCAACCTTGGTTTTACACAGAGATGAGAGGGATGGGAGGGCTGGGAAGTGGGCTATAATGAACACATGCAACAATAATCACAGTAACAAAATACAGTCTGCTGCCAATTCCCCTGCTAAATCAATTCAAATGAGAAAGAGCAACCAGAACACTTACATTTTCTAATTCCCTGATGCTGGGGAAGACAAGTATCTGTACATCACTTTGAAATGTTTACATTTATACAGTGCCTGAAAAATCATGTTGTTTCCCAACACTAAAAAGACAGTAAATTATATTTGACACTAAGTCAATTCAAAACATAACCCTGTAATTAAGAGTATTGATAAATCCATAAACTGGATTGCTCACGCGGAGTATACACAAATTCTATTCTAATGGCGCCACCATTAGTGCAGAGGCTTTAGTGACTATGTGACTGTTGCTGCCTGTTATATACCACCAGGGTCAACC